CCAAGCATATTAATCGTACGTACCCTTGGTGAGCAGATTGAATCCGACTTGTATTTTAGGGTAGTATCCTCAGAGCACTGCCTGGTCTTTTGCACGTCTTTGCTCTATTAGATGCGCAAAATGCACAAGGTAAATATAAATAATGATCTTACAAGGACATTTTCATGTTTATGTCTTTGGCCATTATTGACACAAACGTTACAGGCCGGCTGTCATCACTGTTGGGACGTACTTCATCGTCAGCGGCTTTGCTCTTCTCTTTGCTCTCATCGTTCATCTCCTCCTTGCTCTCGCCATTCATGTCATCCTTGTCCTCGCCGTGAGTTTTTGCCTCCTTTTCCCATCGTATCGTTACCGCTCGTCTCCTCCACACCATCACCTGACTTTTTTAAATAATGAAGGATTAGTTAGTATAGAACATTAAAAAAATGCAATAGCAATGCATTGTTATTAATTGCCGTTTCATTCCATTACCTTGGGTGCAGACTTGATGGTCAAGAGGGGGAAGCCTTGCGCCTATAAAACAAATACTGCCTGCATTATGAATCACATTTTTTAAAACAGTATAGCTGAAACCATGGCGCACAAGATCGCAAAAAATAATCTTGTTACCTTTTCATAGCCTATGACCCGCGCCAAATAAGCGGTTCGATAAATCGGAATGTTCTTTTCCTCCCATCCATGGCACCCGTTCTTGAAGAGAATGTCATGTTCGACTGCAAATGCGGCAATAATTCCACACGAGACCCCATCCTGTCTGGGCACCTTGATAAAGGCAAGAGGGGCGTTGTCGATTTCCTTCCAAGTAGGAAAGTATAACTTAACAAAGGCCTTGATAGCCCCGGTAGTTTCAGCATACTTTAGATGATCCAGCTTGGCGCTAGACTTATCACCAACTGACAAGGTTCGGGCAACAGCGTCGATTCGGTAAAAGATCCAATGATTGCTCCGGATGAGTGCAAAAGCATACACTCTATCTGGACGCCCCGCCTCGAAAAAAGCTGTAACCTTCTTGTCCTTCTCGATTGTTCGATTGATGTTCCATTGCCACGTCCAGTGCTGTATCGTTGATGAGGCGACGAACAAGGTGCGTTGTCCTTGTGGGCTGATACCCAATTCGCGTTGGAAATAACATGCGATTCCATCCAGGGCCTCGCCGCTCAACCACTGATTGCCGGCAAAACTCAAGATGGCCTGATAATCCAGGGGCTTGGGGAGGCTGTCTTGCAATCTATGTGTCTCCAGAAACGTTATGAGATATGTGTAGAGATCCGTGTTGATCGATTTCACGGGTCCATTGAGCCATGCAATCATCGTCGACAGCCTCTGTCGATAATAATCGGTCGCAGCTATCTCTGATAGAGTCCAAAAGTCGATGTGGGTGTTCGATCTCATTTGGAGGTAAAATCCCGATCCTGCAGTATAAAAATGGATCCAGTGTGGGGTTGTGCTCTTTTTAAGCTCTTTCGCCGCGTTTTGGATGGTGGCAACCGTGGGCTCGTCGAGAACAAAAGGAATGTTCTTGAGATGGTGAGGGGAACAAATTAATTTCCCTGACGTCGGCTCCTCAGGAACGAGCTTCCAACCAGCACGGAGTCTGCGTACTCTGGGAAAGTGGGCATCGACCAACTGTACGCCCGTCAACTCTTCGCGCCACTCGGTTCCATAGGGAATGGTGGTTGCATGCTTAGGAGGAGAAAAGGCAGGAATCTCAACGCAGAACTCCATGGACTAATCGTGGTGGACAAAAGAGTTGATATTAGTCTTTAAATTATTAACTGGAACTGGAAGAACATAACAAAACCTTGAGAATACCAACAATGCTCGCCTTCTTCACAATGATGGAGGTTGGAAGCCAAAGAAATTTAAAAGGAGAAATAACAAGAAGATGCCATGTTTTGGCCCTCGGTTGTCAGGTTTTCACCATAAGCAATTTCCAACCCTCGAAATTGAACGCAAGATGCATTCATTTCATTTCGGTTTGCCACGTGACCCGCCACCAACCAAGATTTTGCCACCAACCAACGCGACTGGAAATATTAGTTGTACTCTCTGGAATGTACGCTTACTTCTGTTGGTACCCGTGGGATCTAGGCCAGTACCTACAAAGGGCTACTTGCCTAGAACCCTTGTCAACAAGCTCTTTGCCCCTTTTCCCCCGATGCCCATCTGTCTTTGCCCTTCGCTTCTGCCATTTACATTCTCCATTCTAGATTCCATTTACATTCTCCATTCTAGATTCCATTCACATTTCAGGCCTTACCCCATCCCATTTCTTGTTCATCCCGTTCGTAGATAAATAGACCCCTTGTCCTCTTGTTCTTGTCCTCCAGTCTGCAATAACTCATCTCCCACCTGTCCCCACCTGTCCTCTCTTCCCTGCACGCTACTTCCATACTGAACCGTATTATAATAACACCATACACACTACCCATCCTGTCTGATCATTGCATAAGATGTTTGCTGGGATGCTGATTCTCTCTACCTTGATAGAAAAAAATGACAGCATATACACACCAACACCTTGTTTAGCTTGGACTGTATTGACTTGTAGAGACGGTAATAAGCGAAGGCGAAAATGTGCAAAGCGTTGACATAGTATACCTAAATAATACCGGCAAAGAAAATAAGCGAAGACGTTGAAGTTCACGGGTAGAACGGTGGAAATAATGATGGCTGCCGCTGTTTGAGATATGGCTGGCTGAAAACAAAAAAGCAAAAAAAAAAAAGGGAGGCGTTGGTTTGCATGCTTTTAACTTTTCGCTCCTTCGGCAATAATACTTCTATGTACATTGGAGCCATGACGGAAAGTACCTAGGTATTCCCTCACCATCCCTTGTCGGAGATGACATTAACACTGAATAACTTGACGATGACAACTGTATCCATTCATCACGCCCATGGTGTGTTGAAAGCATTAGAAGTCGCAATAACGCCTATGAGCAGCACCGAATTATTGTTTATCCCGTACAACATGTATCTTTTTTCATGTACCACAATTGGTTGAAAAGAAAGTGACAGTGAGGAGTAGTGGTCGTTTACGCCAATGGCACGATAGAGAGCATAATGTCGTGAGTTGTCTCACAAGTGCGCAAACGAAAAGAAACCGACGGGATGCAACAATGGTATGCGAGGCATCACAACAGCAAGTTTCAATGACTGGGACGATCTAGCCCCTTTTTTTTTTTTTTTTTTTTTTGGAACTATTAAAGTAATTTATATTCCACAAGAATAATGAATGTATCTTTACTTTGTCCTCCTTCCCTCCACCCTCGTTCTCTCGTTATTCATCATGAGCAAAGTCGATGTTCGGGCATTGACCCAGGCTATCAACTACCAGCCATCGAACACCAATACCTTTGGTCTCCAGTGGATGATGCATCTCGGTCAAGCTGCTAGCGGCCGCCTATTGTTACAGCTTCTTGAAGTTATTCCTTCGGTGAAGTCAATGGAGGAGCCCCAGATTGTTGCCCGCAACTACGGATGTCCTGCTATTCACCCACCAGCCGTTCAGAAATGGACAGAGACTGTTCCTTGCAAGGACACAGTCCGGAGGTGCATTCATTTTATGGCAGATGATGAACGTACGAGGGCCGAGGAAGATGACAAGTTGGGTCGACCGATGGAATTCGCTGATTTGGAGCCGTATTACTTTTACTATAAAGAAGCGGGGTGGTCTTTCACTCAGAGGCAGATCTGGCACCTTAGTCAAGTAAGTACTGTGTACTCGTTTGAAAATATGGCTTTGATTTATTATCTGGCTTTTTTTACCCAGCTCACCTTTTGCTTAGTTTCACATTCTAAGAGACTTTGCACTCTCAATCCAAGACATGCTGCATTGGCTGGACTCTGAAGTCGATGGTGTGGATGTTGCCTTTGCCGGATATCTCAAAAGGGCAATCCTCGACAATCCTGCTACTATAGGTCAGTCGTCCGCGTGTTTATACATCCGGTCCTTCCAGCCTAGATTCACCAATGCTATCGCACCAAGTTTTACAAGCATTTTCACTTTACGTGAGAGGGCGTGCCTGGACAAGGGCATTATGGATTGTGTTCTTGCACTCTTCACTCGTTGCTATGGTCTAGATGGTCGGATATTGTTTGCGCCTATTGATCTCACCGGGAAGAGACCCATTGCTTGGAGTACAAGAACAAGGAGACTGGCGATAATGATTTGCACATTTGTCCGAATGGATCATGAGCACTGGGGTGCGATTATCTTGGATCTGAACAGCCACATTATCTATTTCGGATCTTCATCCAATCACCCCATCACTCTGGGGCATCTCAAGCCTCTTTTGTCCTATATCAACCCGTTGTCTGCCGCTAAAGATCAGTGGACAGTTGCAATGAAGAACATCAAACCTCTTTCCACCTCTGCTCTGCCTCAACTTCCGGACCTCGGAGCCCTCGCGATCGCAATGGCGATGGAACAACGGTGCAACACTCATGCCAACTGGAGCAGACATACCTCTCTTTTCGAGTACCGACTCCGCCTGCTGCGTTTATTTACCTGTTACACCCATGTAAGTGTTTGCTCTTTTCTCTACTTTTTTTACGCACAAAAAAGCATACACACCTACACCCATCTCATCATTTCCCTTTGTCTGTTCTTCTAAAAAGATCGGGGCGGACACCATTTGGCGAGAATATTTGCTACATGAGCCGTATCTGCCTATTATGTCGCAGCATGACGATTTCATCCTTTGGTTAACCTCCCCATCTCAAGCCGACAGTAATGATGGTAGTGGGGACATTGGCCGGAACGTAGATGATGAAGGGGACAATGACTTAGTTGATGATGATGGAAATGGCAGAGTCGAGTGGGAGGAAGACAGTGAGAATGAAGGAGAATTTAACTATGGCGCTAAAGGTATATTGTCACTCTATTACGGCTTAGTGAAGAATGAAGCAACCACCAAAAAAATCAACTCGGTTTTAATTTCTCTTCTCTTGTCCTTGCTAGATGTACAAGACCGTTGGTTTATTAAGATGGTGAAACGCACTATTACGATTGGCCTGGATCTTTGTCTTACGCAGGATTCGATTATTACCCTTGTTATGAGGGACGCCTGTAACAAGCCTGATTTGGACCAGGCGCAACTCTCTACATTTGTAAAGAATTACTACAACAAAAAAAAGAAGAATTGGGCGAACCCCTGGCTTGAAGGCTAGAGTGAAGACACACAGTCCAAAGCATTTTGTTAACGATAGTAGAAATGAAGGAATGTAGCAGCTACCAGCTCCACTATTTCACCGCTACTTAACACTGGCCCTTTCTCAATTTCACTGACACTCAGCTCACTATATCTTTGAATGACAGTGTCTTTCTGTGAAATAACCTCTGCGATCAGCCCTTGATTACAACCGTGTAAATCCCATGTCCACGTTTTCCTGCATTGTTTTACGAGTACACGTTCATCTTTTCCTTCCCCCTCCCACGCAAATACGAACAAAAACAGCACACGACTCCATCAAACATATTATTTGGCAACGAGCATCCCCCTCCTTCCGCCAGCAAATGCAATCTTACCTACCTGCAGTTATCATTGGTGCGACATTCAATGGCCATCAGAGCCATTGTCGCTCCTTCAAACGCAATGGCATCATGTCTATATGACCCTTATGCGTCACCTTTTTACTGCGTGTGTATGGCAACTAGCCATCTCAGCTGCATCTTTGTAGCTCGTTTTTTAACATAACCATTAATCGAAGGAGAAAATACACAAGCGGCTTCATTTTTTATTGCCGTGTCTGTTCATTCATCCCCTTCGTTTCCTCTTTGCCTTGACTGTGTTGCTTGGTGCATATTATTTTTCCTTGTCCGCGCCTCGAATGTCTCGCGTGCTGTATGTTGTTGTCTTACTCTTGCCCTCACTGTCTTGCTTGGTGCATTTATTTTTCGCTCTGTGTGAGCCCTTCGATCAAATCCACCATACAACGCCTTTTGGAGGAAATGCCCACAAGTTCGTTATTCAAAGGTCGGAATACTTCTACCAGAGCTTGTCTTTTGAATAGTCAAGTCCTGCCTAATAGACTCGGCACACCGCATTAAACGCAGAGAACAATCCCCCTAATTTATCCTGCTTTCCCAAACGACCTCTTCCTGTTTTTCATCTTTCCTTACGTAAATGATACCTATGTTTAGAAAGCCCTTGCCACGTTTTCCCCCAAGACCGCCAGGCCCCAGGTTGCCCCGGTTACGCAGGAATAGGTTTTGTCCTACTTCCATTGAACGCGTAATGTGATTTCAGATGTCACATCACGTGACTTACGCCACCAACTGAGCCACCACCCAAGATCCAAGCCCACCCATGTTCCAAGCCCCGTCTAACATCCCAAGCCCCGTCCAACATCCAAGCCCATCCAATGTCCAAGCACTGCCTTGGTTTCTTCAGTTCATCTGGCCCTTAGCATGAATAGTGTTTCTTAAGAACATAGTGCATTCGCATTTGCATTCGCATTCGCATCATGTAAAATCAATGGAAACCCCTTTATTTGCATTCGCATTTGAGAAACACTAAGCATGAACATACCCCTTATTCCCTTATCTTATTCCCCAGTCTGCAATAACTCGCTTCCATCTGTCCCCTGCCTTTCTTCTGCACACTCTTCTTTTTATTCCATCCTTTTCCTTCAGAATAAACATAACAAATACAATACACATTCATTCGTGTTCTGTCTAATCATTGCAGCCCTCTGGATTGTCTTTTATGGAAAGGATAAGA